TAGTCCCTGCAGCTGCTGTCACATGCTGCTCTCCCTCGCTCTACCCTACAAGGCTCATTCATCCTAACCCTGCCCACCCTTCTCCTTATCCAAACCAGCTGCCTCCTGTCCAGCACCTCTGCCTGTTCTTTCCATGGCTATACAGGGAACCAGGCCTTAGCTCGTTGTTTTCACTTCCCAAAAGGCTGAGAGCCAGGCCACCGGGGTGTGTCACTGTCTCCAACGATCCTCTTCTCCGTCCTCTTGTGTTGCTGCTCCCCAGCTCCTTCAGGGGGTGCCCACCTGCTCCTTCCTGTGCCCCTCTTCAGCAGACTGCCCCACCTCCCCCGACCACACCGTCACCCTCTTTTGTGTATCCTTATACTCAGTGCCCTCCCTTCCTACCGTAACCCACTCACCTCTCATCAGACCCCCAAACAGGTTCTCTGACCCACCTTTCCACGACACCCCCCTTTTCACATCTGATTTCCTTGCTCTGGATTGAGCCCTTCGATACACTCACTCAGCCCTCATGAATACCTTAGGCTCATTTTAGGGCATCACCAGCTGTACCATTTACAGTCTGACTGTCCCGTTCCAGATGGAGAAAGTGGACCGGTTCTGGTCTTTCTGGCTGCTGCCTCTGTTGACACCTCATGATCCCTTTCTCCCACAGGTGTACTTTCCCTGCCATCCTCCTAATCCCACTCCTACTGTTCGAGGTCCTGTGTGACGTCATCTACCAGTGCCTTGAAGCTGACCACTAAGGCCTTTGTCCCTATCTCTTCTCTGCAGCAGAACTTGCTCCTGGCATTGATGAGTCCTGGCTTCCCGGCCATGTGAAGGATCTCTAGGTACCGAGAACCTGTGAAGAGACCTCTCAAGGGCTTCTGGGAAGCATGGGAAGCAAAAGAGGATCTGAATTTGCAGTTCTGATTTTCCAAAGGTCAACGGTGAATTCCCAGAACTCTCGAGGTGATGAGTTTGCCATCAGTCGCAGGTACAATTGTGGGATCCAAAGGCCCACTCTATGTACACAGGAAGTCCTGCTTTCTTTCCTTCAAGGCTGCAGGACTGGTATACCAGGAAGATGCCAAAAAGACTTTTCTGCACTTCAAACAAGGTGTTTTAATAGCCATATGCGCAAGGAGGAAGATACCGCTCAGATTAAGGCAAAATCAGGATTTGCAACTGGTGGAGTGTGCCAAATAATGCGAATATTGGACAGATCTCTAGCAGAAGGAATGTTTGGTAAAGGAAGTATCCAAGGTCTGCCACCTTGGATTCAATGCTTTTCCAATTTTCTAATGACAATATAGACAGGGCGTTTACAGACAAGTAGATGATACAGATAGAACATTTACAGACACATAGATATTATAGACAGAACGTTTACAGACATGTAGATGATATAGACAGAGTGTTTACAGACATGTAGATGATGGTTATGAGTGTGATTATGGGGCTGGGGAGGTGGGCGGGCTCATAAAGTGCTCGTCATGAAAACATGATGACTGATCTCCAGGACCCAGGTACAGTGGTTCATGTTGTGACCCCAGGGCTGGGCTAGCAGAGCCCAGGTACAGTGGTTCATGTTGTGACCCCAGGGCTAGACTAGCAGAATCCAGGAACAGTGGTTCATGTTGTGACGCCAGGGCTGGACTAGCAGAGCCCAGGTACAGTGGTTCATGTTGTGACCCCAGGGCTAGACTAGCAGAACCCAGGTACAGTCATTCATGTTGTGACCCCAGGGCTGGGGCAGCAGAACCAGGCAGATCCCTGGACCTTGCTGACCAGTCAATCCACCTAAATCCGCAAACTCCAAGCCATTGAGTGACTGCACCACTCCCTCCCCCCAAAACTCAAGTAAACAGAAAACCAAGACAGATGGCGCCTGAGAAGAAACACCTAAGGCTCACCTCTGGCCTCCACACCGGTATACATGTGTCTACACACATGCATGCACACACTCCACAAAGTGATATTAGGATAACGAATCAGAATTCAACTTAGCTTATTGGTCAATTCCATCAAGATGTCTTTAATAGAAAATTCATCAAAAACAATACTGAAAGCTGGTAGTGGTGATACAGGCCAATAATGTCAACACTCCAGAGGCTAATGCAGGAGGAATGACCCATCAAGGGTAGAGTGAGATCTCCTCATAAGCAAACCAACAAATGCTCAATATTCAGTAGAAGTTATAGAGAAAAATAATAAATCCCATAAAAAATTCAAAGTGGGGATGGCCATCAGGGTAAAAGATGGAGAAAAGCTATGAAAAACAAAACATATGACAAAAATAAGAGTTGTAGGAATGGAGGGGGCCCCAAAGTGACCTTTGGGGAGCAGGGACTTCTGTCATTGCGATCCCTCTTTAAATGCCTATTTTTGTTCATACACTCTTTTTATACTTGGTGCTGATTTTTTAAAGGGATACTTTTAGAGTCCTATAGGACAGTACAGGAAATACCAAATCCCAGAGTGATCCAGTGAAGCAGAGCATTTGATTGATAGCGCAAGTCAGAGGCAGCTGACCCACATCAGTCACAGAATCCGCTCTGTCATGCTCTGCCCATCTGAGGTCCTGGCAGGACCCAGAGCTCAGGGGCTGTTCTCTCTGAGGAGTCAGGCAAACAGCTGTTGGGGGCCCGCACCCCACATACGGTGAGCCTGCTTTCCCTTGATGACAATATTGGATCCTAACAAATGAAGGGTTTAGGAGCAGCCCCAGCTCTCTTCAAAGCTTCCCAGCTATTATATGGCAGAGACCTAGCCTGGTCTCTGCAGCACCAGATGCCAGAATAGCCAGTAGCTGAAGCCACTGTGAGGCTGACCCTGGCGAAGTAACATAACTTCCTAGAGAGAGACCTGTGGGAAGTCCTGAGCATGTGTCCCAGGCAAGGCGCAGGCCTCCTCCTTAGACCATTGCAAAGGGTACCACAGGAGAGTCAGGCAGCTCAGAGAATCCTGGAAGTTCCTTCACCTCCTGTGCATGAGACGAGACTGAGACTTGAGCATTGTGTGTCCAAATGAGAGGCAGAGCCAACTCCAGAACCAGAGCCTTGTTTGTAAACACAATCACTATTGTCTTCTTGCTAGCAATTGGCTTTTGTTTTTTGTTTAAATCAGTGAGTGGTATTGTATTGCTATTATTCCAAAGGTGAAGCGCTCTCAGACACGGCTGCTCCCAGGAGCATAGGTCTTCCAGATTGCTGCAGGATGCTGGTTAACCTCCAAACCTTCCTAAGGATCACCCCAGACCGAAGCTGAGGCCGCTTACTCTCTCCTGCCCTCTGCTGGCCCTTCCCTTCATCTCTTATTTGTGCAGGATGCAGATGGTGCCCGATTAGGATGGCACAAATCAAAAGCTGCCATCACCCAGAGATACCGCTGGTGCTTTACCAACCCTCAGAAAATGATAAATTTTCAGAGCAGAAGGGCTGGGAGAAAGCTCAGCACTCAACCTGACTCGGTGCTGCTCAGAACTGAGTGGTAGTTTGAGGGCTATGGAAAAGCTTGGAGCCAACCTATAAAAAGGTAGAAATTTTACCTAGAACTCTAGATTTTTAATATCACGGATGTTCACAATGTCTCAAAATAGAGAGCAAGAAGTGGCATGTAGAGCTGTAATTCAGTTGCAGGACATGGCAGTGTGGCTCTTGCCAAGGGACAAGGCTAGTCACCTTCACAACTATGTAAGGCACAACTCAAAAGGGACACATACAGGATAAAAAGGATAACATACAGAAGCAAGTCTACCAGCTCCCAGGGCCAGCTGCAGATCTTCATCACTCAGGGACCTTCACAAACCTATGAGTGGCCTGGAGTGGGGGAGGTCCAAGTCCTACGGAGAGGCTGACATGTCACCTACCAATGAGGCCTTACTGCACCTGTGGGCCCATCTTGGCTATGGTCTCCGAGAATGACCCTGCCTGGAGAATTCTACAGACAGGACACAGGTTGGAACTGTCCACCGTGGCCAGGTGAAGGACAGTGGTACAGTTGGACAAACTGGACTGGCCACATTTGGTGAGTGGAATTTCCTTTGGGTTAAACAGAAGCAACAGGACAAAGGTGGGCTGGACCTCCTTCTATCAAACTCCTAGGACACATGTGAGCAGCAAGAAAGACGGCTTTGATGATGGCAGTGACTTGTGAACTGTGTCCTTTCTAAAGTTCTTTTCTAAAAGTTCTTTTCTAAAGTTCTTTTCTAAAGACCAAGTGAACTGGAAAAACTAAATAGGGGTAAAGAGGCGAGGGACAACCGGCATAGAAGAGCCAAAGGGGTGAAAGCTAAGCATTCAACTCTGAGAACTCTGGAGAGTTCCAGATATGCTGAGCCCATGTAAGTGGAGTTTTGAACTACTTAGAATCTAGACCCCAGCACCTGACATTGAAGAGATCTTTTTCCCCGTTTGTGTGTTCAAGGCTCTGCAAATGCAAAGTGGACACAGACAATGGTGGCTGCAAAGCCTCCCAATGAGGTGTCTATAGTCGAGAACTCAAGGACCTGAAACATTAAACGGATGTCTACAGGGATTTGGCAGGAGGGCTGCAGGACACGGCAGCCCCGCCACCGGTTCACACTTGCTCCTGCTCAGATCTGAGAAAAGGAGGTCACCCTGCAGGCCCCACAACAGAGCCTGAGGGGGTAGGGCTGTGGTCCAGTACCTACCTCGAAAGCACAAGACCTTGAGTTCACAGAAGGAACCTACAGTAATTGAGATTTTTTTTACAGCACAACTAGCCTCAAACCAGCTTGGAGGTGGGGGGCTGCTCTTTTTTTTTTTTTAAATAGAAAACAAGTTCTAAGAATTCATATATCAATGTTCTTTCTGATAAAAATGATACTTTATTATATTTTTTAAAATCACAGAACTCCAGTCTAAATATCACTCTCTCTCTCTCTCTCTCTCTCTCTCACACACACACACACACACACACCCTCTGGTGTTGGCTCCCATACCCCCTCAAATCTGGCTAATGAGTTATGCTTCAGGGAATTTTTCCAGTTCAACTCATACTCTACTTGGAGTACCACGCATCACCGGTCTTCTGGCTCTGCCAAACTTCAGTGACGACAGTTGGTACATTTGCTGAAGAAATCGTTTCTGCTGGCTCAGCAGCCCAGTGCTGTGGGCACTGTGCGGTATGATCATATCTAAAATATGATCTGCACGACGTCACTTCCCTGCAGGCTTTGCTCTCTCTTCCCTCTCACTGTTTTGCTGGGTCTCTCCAGGGTTCCCTTAAACACTATAATAAAATGTATCAACTGGACCAGTACCAACGCTCCATGTGAAGTCACCCAGCCTACAACTTTGCGGTTATAATTCAAAAATAAATATTATTTCAAGGTGAGGAGACAGACGACTTGCTGACTAGGAAACTGCTTGATTCTCTCTAAAACTCACAATCCACTGTGGACTTTTGTTTCATGATACAGTCAAGAAAAATGAGGCAAACTGTCACTCACATTGCTGGCAGAGCACCCCATCCTGTCCCCCTCCACAAAGAGAAATGACGGCAGAGCCTAGTTATCACATCAGTGGCTTGGGTCACTTGAGGTTCAGGTAACAAGTTCCTAAAGTTGGTTATGATCAGTTATGTAACCACGATGCTAGGATGGGGACGCTCACCTTGAGGAGTGAGCTAAGAGCTGGGCTAGCTACTCCGACATCAACTACAGAGAACCTGTCAATACTGAAATCCAACTGTTAAGGGACTGGGTGTCTTCAAAACTCATATGCCCTTCTTTTAACCAGGAAATCGACAGCAAGGGTGCTGGCCTGAGTAAGCCACCGACAGTCTTAATGGAAGCAGAGATATTTTAGAAATAGGGAACACATTTTGCGACATCTGTTTCCAGACCACAGCTATAGAAACACTTCCCAGAGTTGGTCTGCTTGAATGCCTAGCTCAAGAACAAAGGCAGCCAGCCCTCACGAGGTACTGACGTATGTCCTGCCAAAAATAGTCTTCTTTTCCTAAAGTTGTAAGTTCTCTTCAACTATATTACACATCTGTTCTTTTCATCGGCAAAAGAAATGACTTTAAAAAAAAAAAAGGTCCAAAATGAATGATGTCTACGTAGAGTGAAGGTAGAATTTTGGTTGGTTGGTTTCTGTAATTCAGAATATAGACACAATCAAAAGAGCTGTGATGGTCTGCACATTCATTTCTTCCCAGGGTCCTTTGCTCAGCTCACATGAACTCATCGGAGTCGTTACCATCCTGCAGGGGACAGAAAGTGAGAGGATGAGGCCTTGCGGACGGTCAGTCGGTATCTTACGTTTACTAGCACGCTAACCCACCACCCCTCTTCTTATTCCTTATTCTTGTCATTGGCTCTTGGAACGACCAGGGAGAGCAGCCACAGCCTACGACATGCTCGTTACCACAACCCCCAAGTTACAACAGAAGCCCACTCCAACTCGTAGAGGGTGGGATGAGGGTGAGAAAGGGGAGGAAATAGCTAAGCATTTCGCATGGATTCTCAATTTTAAAAAGGGAGGAACTGAGATGAGGGCAGGGAACCTGTTTCCCTGGAGTGACTTACTCTCTAAGCACAGCTCACGTCACGCCGAATCCCCGAAACACACACGATTTAGAAAAGAACCAATCCTCAACAAGTACACTAATCAACAGTATCCTGATTCCTCAAGCCAACAACACTGCCATATGCAAGAAAATAAATAAAAATAAAAAGTAAAAAAAAAAAAATCTGCCCTAAACCCCAGTATTTTGAGCCTCATGGTTTTCATAGATTTCTGATTTCACAAGATAGCTGATTATTGTTCCTCCTTTTTAGTAGGTAAAGTCCTTAAGCCAAACAAAGGCTAGTAATCGAGCTAGTCAGTTAGGTCTCTTATACACGACAGTGCACAGGCAAAGGGCCAATCTTATTGCATGGCTGATTAAGTCCCACAGGCCACACAAGGGTGCAGCCCCAGCTCCTTTGCATCGGCAGCACCGGCCACTCCACTGGCTTCAACATCTATCTCTTACTGCCTAACAGCAATACTGCCAAGAGCCAGAGGCAGTATTGCCAGAACCCTGGCTGGAAATGGTAGGAAAATACTAGGTGAGGGTAGAAAATGGCAATTTTTATAAAGGCTGCTTTTCTCTGGTTTTAGCCAGCATCTCTGTGTTGTTCCTCTTCCCCCTTCTTAAAAAACTATTTTAGAGTGTGTGTACATGTACTAAACACATGCAGAAACCCTTGGGAAGTCAGAAGAGGGCACTGGATCCCTTGGAACTGGAGTTTTAAGAGGTTGTGAGCCGTCATGAGGGTGCCAGGAACAGAGCCCAGGTCCTCTGGAAGCAGCAAACTCTTTAACTGCTGTGCCTGGAGCTTCTCTTTTATTAGCACAGGAATCAGAGCCTCAGGAAAATTGGCTCATCTGTTTGTGTTTTATCTGGGTACCAGGACTGACTGCCTCAGAGTCCTGAACTTCAAGTGCAGCATCAGACACTGGGAAGAGTCAGTGTGCATCTTCAAATGTCAGCTTCCCCGTCCAGCCCATGAGGACACAGCTCAGCAAGACTGCCTGGTAGTTAACAAGGAAGGTGCGAGTCCTTCCGGGGGCTATGCATTAGATGTGTGTGCAGAGCTCCTGCTGACCAAGGGCAGGTATTCTGGGACCACAGGAATGCGTAATTATACATCTGTGGTCTAGGACTTTCCTTCGTCAACTATTACATTTCAGATTCCCCAGCTTCAAAGCTACACCTCTTTGTTACCCAGTGATAAGTGATAAGCAAGAGGACTGTAACAATGACAGTCTATGCCTCCAAGCCCAAACCAAAAAGGACAAAAAGTGACAGATAAAAGAGGTTATGCTAAATAGAAGACTAAAAGCTCAGATGAAAATCTAGCTCAGGATGGCCGGTGGTCCAGCACTTGGGAGGCAGGGACAGGCAGATCTCTGTGAGTTCAGGGCCAGTCTGGTCAACAGAGCGAGTATCAGGACAGGCTCCAAAGCTATAGAGAAACCCTGCCTCAAAAAAGAAAAACAAAAAAAGAAAAGACAGAGACAGAGACCAGCATTCTTCCTGATGAGCTTGCACAGTCCTATCTTACATAAGCATCAGCCTTTGAATGAAGACCAAGTGATCACACCACAATTAGGTTGTTAAAGACAAGAAGGTAACAGAACAGAAACTGAAGCCTTCCCATTTGAGCACCTCACTCACAGCAGCAGTAAGTAACAGAGCAGGAGGAAGGGGGACCGGTGAGCATTTGTCTCTAGTTGAACACTGTAGTCCTGGGGCTCTTAGTGACAGTATCTGTGTATACACATGCACCATTGGTCCCTTGCATCTGTGGGGGTCTATGTCTGAAAATCCAACCAAATGCAGACAGAAAGCACTTAGGAATCCCACAAATATATGCATAGGCCTTTTTCTTGTCATTATTTCCTAAGCAATAAATTGTGACAACTGTTTGCATCTACATTACAACTGGTATAAATAATAACACAGGATAAAACACATGGGGAGAGAAAACCTAAGTTACATGAACATATTCTTCCATTTATAAGGGTTTTGAGCATGTACAGATTTCAGATTTTAGTATTCCTAGGGCCTTGAGACCAGTGCCTCACAGGTATCAAGAGCTGACTGATGATGCCTGTGCACATCCATATCTGTGCTTCCAATTCCAGAACATGGAAGCTTTTAAGATCCACCGTGACAAGACTGTTATGTACAAGGTTGAAACACAAGCCAGATTTCTGGTGAAAAGTTTCTAAATAGGAAGTCTGGATAAATACTAGTCGGCAGAGCAGAGACTGGAGCACTAGTTTTAACTGAATTGGACTTGGAATTGGACTTCTCTTAATGTTAAATTGCTCTGAGTTGTAAGAAAGCCAAGAATAACGTTCAGAGGGCTAAACAAACTCAGGGCTCAGTAAGGACCAAGGATGACTACCTATGTCATGACAGATTCTAGCACGGTCTTCACGGCACACCCTTGTTTACAGGTTACAACAACCTCATGAGGTAATGTCTCTGTACTGAGCAACATTCCCCCTAGCAAGGCTAAAACTATAGTAGGCTCACCCTAGTGACAGTTTAAATCTCCTGACTTCATACTCGGTCCTGTAGGACTACACAGTGCAAGTCTGGAATTTCTCAGAAATAATTTATAAAGATACATCTTGATTCATAAAGGATACTCAAAAATTTAGTCCTTCACAGAGGTGGGAGTAAAGATACGATCTTACACATTCTGGGATAGGTACTGGCTGTAAACAATGTTTAAAATCCTACTGATTCCAATTCATGCACTGAACTTGGCGTTTGAATAGATAACTTTACATGGGAAACTGAGACATAAGTAGCTGCTGGGCCACACAAAGCTAGCGTGACTAAAGAACACAGGTTTAACGTAATTTTTATGTAAACAGCCTTTGCAATTCGTTTCTAACACACCTGACAATACAGACCGAAAGCCATTTTAAAGCTATATTATACAGATCTGAGCCAAATGTGATGGGTACATGCTTGTAATCCCAGCACTTGGGAAGCAGAGGCAGGAAGAGAGAGTCTAAGACCAGGCTGGGTTAAGGAGGGTTTCATGGCAGCCTGAGCAACAAAACAAAACTCCATCTCAAACAAAACAAAACACCTGAAACATGTCAACACTTATTCCTAGTCCTAACAAAGATGGAAAAAAAAAAATCAGTGTTGCTATTTAGGCTGAAACAGATGATCTCTGTATTTGGTACATTTATTTTTAATTGAAAGGAGCAATTCTGGTTCTGTTTAACAGTACTGTGGAATCTATAGCTGCATTAGTAGAGGAAGTTAATAAATGCAAATACATTTGAAAGTCTGGAAATAGAAAGGAGCAAGGAAGTGGACTGCAGGGGGCTGCCACAGTCTGGATCTGGAGACATCCCCAAAGGCCATGTGCTGAAGGCTTGTTCTCCAGAACATTTAAGAAGTGTTGCCTGGTGTGGAGAAGTCAGGTAACTAAGGCATGCCCTTCATAGGGTACTGGGACCCTTCCTCTTTCCCTCTTGGCCTCCCAGCTGCCACACGGTGAACAGCTTGCTGGCCCATGTTTTCCCACCAGGATGTACTGTCTTAACATAGGATCAAAGCAGCAGGAAATGACCATAGCCCAAACCCTTCGAAACCCTGAGTCAAAAAAAAGCTTCTTTCCTCATAAATTGATCATCTCAGGTATTGTGTTAAGTGACAGCTGACTAACACACCGTGCAATACTAACAGGTCTGCCCTTCACAGCAGGTGAGGCATCAGACTCTCTTTCCGTGCAGTGACCCATATAAAATAAACATAAGAGCACAGGGAAGGAAGGCAAGGCCTGCCAGAATCTACCCCCAGTGTGCTAGATGGTAAGCAATCTGCAATACAATAGTAACTCAATTACTAAAGACTCTCTATGAAGTATTTCAACGCACAATATTAGAGTAAGAAATGTGAACATACTTGATTTGAAGACATATTCTCAACTTTCATTAGTGATGAGTAGCTCCTAGAAGAAAAAAAAATATTCAAAGTGAGGTTATCACTCAGTAAGCATTTCACGGGTGGCTACCACCCTAAAATCCACATCTTGCAGATGGTTATCACATTGGCTGAAGGCCGAAGCCAGTTATTGAAACCACCCACTCTGATGAAAGCAGCACATAGAGTGCCTTTCTGAAGGCCACATTTCCTCCGGGCTCCCTCCTTTTAACCCAACTGCCCCAACACCTTTTTAGATGCCTAAAAGGCATTTCCAGACTTCTGGTCCACATCCAAGACAAAATCTATCCCCTACTGCCTAGAATGGCATCACTGTCCATTCCACTTCAAGCCAGAAGTCCAGGAGTCATTCATAGCTTTTGCTACCATCAAAATGGATCTTATCCCGTCACCAGTGAATTTCCTCTCACTGGGGGAGTCTTCTCTACCTCCAAGTCACCACCATAGTCCAAGTGTGGTGTAGACAACTGCCAATCACTTCTTAACTTCTACCAATACTGCCTCTGGCTCCCTCGAGAACTGAACAGGCAAAGAGCTCTTACTAAATCACAAGCCACCACTGGGCCATGCCTGCAAAACCCAACACACAGGAGGCTGTGGCAGGGATTGCCGCAAGTGAGAGGTCAGCCTAGGGTAAGCAGCCAATTCCTGGTCATGCTGAGCTACAGAGTGAGATACTGTCACAAAAAATTAACTGGTTCATTCACTCACAAGCCTCATCATCTTTGCTTGAAATGTCAAAAATATTACTTCTTGTGTGTGTATGTAAGTGCAGCATGCACACTGAGTCAGAGAATGGCTCTTCATCTGCCATGAGTTTTGAGGATCTAACTCGGCTTGTCAAATATGGGGGACAAAATCTTTACCTGCAAAGGCACTGCTCCAGCTCTGCTTGAGACTTTTATGATATCATAACGCTCAAGAGGAAGACAGGCAAAAAAGGGCTCTGCATGGCCTGGTTCCATGTTCCTTGAGTCTTCTCAATCTAGTATTCCAAATATTTGGGACCTTGGTCCTGTTTCATCTTGTTGCCTCCCATATAAGGATCCTGAACCTATAGAATAGCTGCCAGAACTCCTTGGTTCTGATTCCAGCTTCTAGAATTATTCTACCAGGGAACACATTTTCATGTATCCATTCATGACACAATGACTGACTACACATGAGAAATGTTGTCTTGTCCAAGAGGTCACAAGGCTCTGCAGAGCTTACAATCAACACGAAGAGTCCCGGCACATGGAGCAGTAGACAGCAGGAGGGGTTTGGGTGTGGTGGTACTTCTGTGATCCCAACTATGTGGAGTCTTAGGCAGGGGATCATAAATTTGAGACTAGCCTGGACAACTTGGTGAGACTGTGTCTCAAGGCAAAAATGTTTTAAAGGAATAAAGCTCAGGCAGTGGTAGAGTGCTTGCAAGCACAAGGCCCTTGGTTCAATTTCCAGTCTTTTAAAAAGAGTAATGAGCAATGGGTGGTAGTGGAGCCTTTAATCCCAGCACTCAGGAGGTAGAGGCAGGTGGATCTCTGTGAGTTCGAGGCCAGCCTGATTTACAGAGCAGGTTCCAGGACTAGCTCCATAGTTACTAAGAAACCCTGCCTCAAAAAAAAAAAAAAAAAAAAAAAACAACCAACAACAACAACAAAAAACAAACAAAAAAGGTATTGAGCAATAAAAAGGAAGGAAGTGGTGGAGCAGTCCCTTCTTAGAGTCTGGTCGTCCTCTGACCAAGGTTTTGTGCTGATGCCTTCTATATGTTGCTCCTGACTACAAACCCACTTCCCCGTAAACACCCCACGACACCTGTGAACTGAATCTTTCCAAGTCACTAAATGCACCATTTTTCAGGTTTCCTTGCTCGTTTAAGACCCTGACTCTGGTCTTGCATCAGAGGCAATGGATTCAAAATTACAGATGAGTCTCAATTTCCTCTCTACCACTTACAGCTGTCCAGTCACACGTGAAGCTCCTTGCTGAAGACAGCTCTGCCTAGAAACCACGTTTATGTATTTAAGCTGATGACACACTGGCCTGTGACTTCCCACTGTACTTCCGTCCTGAACTTCAGCCTCGCTTACAAAGCCACAAGTCCCAACTTACATCCCCCAATTTCAAATACCCCAGCTCTTTTATCATAATGGTTCACTTTGGATATGCTATCTATCCAAGTCTATTTTCCTGATCATTGCTTTTGCCTTCTGGCCACTGCCTATAAGGTAGACTCGACTTCATGTTCGTAAGTGTTTGATGTGATAATTCACAAAGTCAAATAAAACACAAAATTAAAGCAGGCAAGCAGCACAGAGTTGATCTGTTGCCTAGAAAATTCAGAGACAGAACTTAAAGAGAAGCTAGCATGATAAGTGTATTAAAATAGATTGCAGGGTGGGGGGCGGGGGGCCCAGGCTTCACTGGAGGCCCTGGGCTGATAGTTAAGACCCTGTGTCTCAAAGGCTCAAAAACAAGTCCACAAAACGCTGAAAGCACAAAGTCTGCTGCTGGACTCTTATAAACTGAAGGACTGAGTTTGTGGAACAAGCCCTGACAAGCTGTTATCCTCTGAAACAGTGGCCCCGCCTCAGGTTCGGCCTCTGCAGCCTGTGATGGAACACAAGAGAAACAGGGGCCACACAACTGAAGCTCACAGGGTTGGTTACGACTAGGTGAAAATGGAAGGACTGGCTGAACTTCCGGAACAGATTTCACTCTGCACGATGGAGAATTTCCCCCTCATTTCCATCAGTATTTTTTACTGTAGATACTTGGAAAACAAATCTAGAAGATACTATGGTGCACATATCACAAATGACATCCACGGCCACCTTCACTACGAGTTCAGGAGCCAACCTGTATTCTAACAGCTGTCTACAACTGCAGGACACGGAAGCAGGCCCCATCACATTAAAGGCATTCAACTTTCAGAGGGCAGAAAAGGCTTGTGAAAGCGGCTCTGAGTTAAGTCAGCTTCACGTCTCTGTCCCAACGGCACAGCTGTGCAAGATTACTCCCTTACCTTTTCCTTCTCAAGAACAGACCGGATTCTGAGGAAAGCTCACAATGGCTTACAGTGAAGGACAACTCATTCAACACTCGGAGCTTTACTGTGCCCTCCTCCCACCAGAAAATCTGTGAGCAGATAACCTGTGTCAGCCAACAGCAAGACCACAGCCCCATCATACCTAAGTTCATCCATTTCCCGTTTCTTCTTCATTTCTTCTTTCTCTCTCCTTTTCATTTCCTGAATCTGGGCTTTTTTCTCATTCCTCTCTTCGCGGTCTCGGCTTTCTTTCTCTGCTGCTAGGTCAGGAAACTTCTCCGATTTGGTCTTTTCTAATCGGTTCAAGATTTCATTCACTTTCTTCTCTACGGTCACAATTTTTACCTTTGAGGGAGGTAAGGGGGAAAGTACTTAGCCTTAATTACTTTTCTCTCACCTAAGAGGGGCAAGTCTTGGGCTTTCCATCACACTCAGCCTGGAGCCCGGCCCCGCCTCCTGTGGCGGTATGAACACTTACATCCTTCTGCCTGTGGAAGCCTATCTGCCCCACATCCATGTCAGCTGTTTTCTTCAGGTTAGACCAGGGCGTGTATACCACATTAACGTTGTTCATCTTGCAGCCTGCCGAGAGAGACTGTCTTCAACAGGCAGGAAACATGTAGCCCTCACCCACAGCAAAACATCATCCACCCATCCCGGAAAAGGCTTGAGATCGGAGATCTTGACACCTCTGATGTCACAAAGCACGAAAGACAAGTGGAAAATCAAGCATGAAGCCAAAGTATTACTGTGGGAAAAGCAAGGGTAAATGACCAACATCAGGGGCTTCCAAGAACTCCCTAAAATTGAATACAAAATTATCACATGCATAGTTTTCAAGAGAAAAGAACCAAGTGAGTCTCCCTAGACTCTTGAAGGAATCTTTGAGGCAGTAATGGGTAACCAGTAATATACAGCTACAGCCTGGAATTTCAGAGAGCCACCCTGGCAACACCTAACCAGCTGCACGAGCTCAGAGCTGCCTATTACTCTCTGACCCCATCTGACACTGAGGACACCAACACGTTTAGGAAGGTTTGTTCGGTTATCAGTGGAGCCCTTTTCCCTAAACAAACCTGATTCTGACCTAAAATGGGCCAATTTAGCAGAAACCAGCAAGTTCAATCCCTGTTCCCTTGGTGTTGTGCAGGAAAGAATTTGGCAACTACAGAGCTGCTAGTGGCGTGTCCCCTGCACTCTCACGATTCTCTGCTGTCCTCAGCAGCATCCTCTGGTACTGATTAAGAGGGGAACTCGGGGCCCAGCTTCAGTCTGTTATGTGAGCAATCACTGGAAGGCTAAGGGAGGAAGGGGAGGTAATTCCCATGTTAGCATTCCTCCCCCGTGTTCTCTCTAGAACTCGTAAACTGTCAGGACATTAAAAAGAAAGAAACAGAGCCAAGAATAAGCGGTCGACGGCTCTTTGAACCAAGGCGCATTTGCGAGTTAGGGGCACAGGGAAGAGCAAGGCAGTGTGTGAGAAGCTGGATCACAAAAGAGCTTGCTTGTTTCAATGCTCACTTCAGTAAATGAAGATCTAAGATTATCTAGTCTCCTCATAAAACGGAACGCCGTCACTCAGAACAGCCTGCTCATTTATGGAGTTGAAAACCGGTGGCTCCAAAAGGTGAACTTTAGACTTCTTTGTATACACTCGTAGTTTGTTATTAAGGCCGCCTGAGTTGAGGCTGAAGCCAGCAGACTGCATGAAGGAAGGCTGCCAAGCTCTCATCATGCAGTCAAGGACCCCGTGCCTGTTATCAGCTGTGTTTGCTCTGGATCATCTTCCACCTTCATTTATAACCACTTATCTCTCTCTCTCTAGCCAGGTCTATATCCTACCCTAAAATCTCAGTCATTCAGACCAATACCTCTAAACCCCTTCATAACTGCTATCCCCATCCTAGACCTTTTGTTCAGATTAAATCTTATCTAGTAGAAATGAGCAGGCACCAAGCCCAGTATTTTAACTACTGCCTAAAACACACAGGGCACTTGTTCCCAGCCCTCACTGCACACTGGCTCACCCAGAGAGCTTCTGAAAGAAAACAACACTCAGGGACCACCCAGACCATCACAGCTTAAAGGAAGGATAAAGCATGGAAGAGAAGGGAAAAAGAAAAGATATGGTTTAAAATCTCTAGCTCTAAGCCTGGTGTAGTCACACACACCCATAGCTAGCATCCAGGAAGCCGAAACAGGAAAATTATGAGTATCAGGCCAGTGTGGGTTACACAGTGAGTTCCACACTAGCTTAGGTGAATTAACAAGATCCTGGCTCAAAACACCCAAGCAAAGGGCTGGAGCAATGGCTTAGTAGTTAGAAACACTAGCTACTCTTCTAGAGGACCCGGGTTCAATTCCCAACACCCAGGTGGTGGCTACAATTGTCTGTAACCCAGTTCCAGGTAATCTGACACCTTCTTCTGGGCTCCAAGGCACCAGACATCCACATGGCATAGACACACATGCAAATAAAACACCATACACATAAAATTATATTTAAATTTTTAAAAAGAAAAGCTGAAACAAACCCCTCTAATTTTAAGATCTGATGACAAAGGATGGCAGCAGACAGCAACACTGACAGCAGAGCTACGAGACACACCTCCTCAGCTACCAGCACTGCACCGCTCCCACCAGTCTGAAGCAGAGCAGGGAAAGGGAGAGTCACAAGTGCCAAGACTCAGAGGGACAGTGGGGCTTAGAGGAGTGGGAGATCAGCTGCTAGTCCCCTGACAAGCAGCAGAACTGCCCCCTCCTCAGCCTTCTCTTCTGGGGTCCTCAGATGCATGCCAAAGTCAACAGCACGCTTGCTAAAATGGACTTCATTCCAGACACAGAGAAAGTGCATGTTGACTCAGAAAACACTCCTAGGAAAACTGACCTTGAATGCTATTGGCCTTCACGAGGTGGGCGCAGTCCATGAGAACCTCCTTTGGAATGTCTTCTATCTTCTCTCCCTGCAACATAAAATAAACCGAACAGTCCTCTTTGGTTACTGATGGTCACTGGAACACTCACAGCATCTGCTTCTTACCTGAGGGACACAGCCTTACAGCAAGCAGGGGCTCTTCAGGTCGGTTACTGAACACTGAAAGATGAAGTCAATTTACCATGTCCACACAGGATGCTACCTGAACTAAGAGAAGGCACCAACACAGAAAACTACACTTTACACCTTTTAAGAACCGTGCTGCAGATATTAACTGCAGTTATAGCCCAGGAGCTTTTGTACTCATTCTTTTCTGGAAAGCATGTGGAGAAATGGTGCCCATTGAACATCTAGAAGTCTCCCTGCCTGAGGTCTCTATAGCCGTCCTTTGAAAGAGACGCCTTGGAGTTCTGGACCCCAAACATCTCACAGACCTTCTACCCCCCCCAACCAAAATCAGGGTGAATTCCTGTGTTGGATCCCCACTATTTACCACAAGGGAGAAATGACAGAGGTGCCACTTTCTCTACAGAAATTGCTATCAATCAAAGATCTGAGTACATAAAGCTATTTCCAAAAAACAAAAACATTCCAGGGGCAAGAGTGGGGAAATCAGTTTAGAATCAGGTTCTATTAGCCATGGGATTATAGAAACAGCTGTCAGATGACAAGTGCTACATAGAACTCAGTGCTGAAATAACTGTCTCACTGCTGTGCTTCAAACTTCCATAATTTCCTAGTATAAGTGTGGTGAGTGTGTGTGTGTGTGTGTGTGTGTGTGTGTGTGTGTGTGGTGTATGTATGTGGTATGTGTATGTGTGTGTGGTGTGTGTGTGGTGTATGTATGTGGTATGTGTGTGTGTGTGTGTGTGTGGTGTGTGGGTGGGTGGGTGTGTTGTGTGTGTGCGTGGTGTATGTATGTGGTATGTGTGTGTGTGTGGTGTGTGTGTGGGTGTGTTGTGTATGTGTGTGTGTGGTGTATGTATGTGGTATGTGTGTGTGTGTGTGGTGTGTGTGTGGGGGTGTGTTGTGTATGTATGTGGTGTGTGTGTGTGGTGTCGTGTCTGAGAGGTGAACCCAGAGCCTTCCTTCTATATGCTAGGCAAGTACTCTATCACTAAATTACATTCCCAGCTACATTTAAAATTATGTACACGAGAGTTTCTTAAATAAACAAATGTTGACAAATCTGAATTTGTCACTACTTGAAGGCATGGCCCATCCTGTATATCTCTCAGACCACCTAAACAGAGGGCTCTGAATTTATACCTCTTAACACAGTGCTGTCATCAAGAACAACAGTCATTACACGAAGCTACAATTGAGTGGCAGTGGCAAAACTAATAAGAGATAACAAGTCCACACTAAATCAGTCAAGATGGTTAAGAAACAGTCAGTCAGTAGCTATCACTTGCTGAGTGCCCACCATATAATAAGGTTCTCCATGGTCAGTGAATGAGCTGAGAGGTGACCCCAGGCTTCGCGGCAACTTTAAAATTCTGGCTATGACCCTTGGTGCTTCGGGGATTTTACGGCACACATGTCTCTTGGTCCCTGAGGTCAGGCGTGCCCCAGTACCCCTCCTACAGCCGCACCTCCTGCTCCCTATTGTGCTCCTCCCACTAAGATGAGCAGCTGGGGCTGCAGCAACAGCAGCAGCAATGAAGAGCTCACAACCAGGGGTCTAAGAACACGTAATGTAAAGGCCACAGTCTTGCTTTGCTCCACTCACACTAGTGAGCTAAACAAGCTCCAAAGAGTTGTGGCTTCTCTATAGGTTTCAAAACAGAAGAGTAGTAGAGAACACTACCGAGAATCTGTATCTTTACACAGTTGAATCAGATTCAAAACACAGTGAGGCCAGGCATGGTGGCTCATGGACATGGCAGACAGCCAGGACTGCTACACAGAGAACCCTGTCTGGAAAAACAAAACAAGCAAACCCCACGATGAAGGAAAGCACACAGTGCTTAGTACCTGTCCAGAGGCTACTCTGAAAAGTTTGGTTTAAGGTATGCCAGCTCTTAACCCTCACAATGACCCAATTAGGGAAGCAGCTGGTCCCTTCTATACAGGAGGAATAGGCAGTTATGTGCCACAGAGCCAGGATTCCAGGATGTTCTACATTGCAAGCTCCAGACCAGTCACTTACTGAGACCCTGACTCAAAAGAAAAGGCCAAAGTTAGGTGCCGAGGGTTGTCTGCCTACAGTCCTATCTACTCATAAAGCTGAGCTGAGAAGTTATTCTGAACCCATGATCAACACAGTGCAACTGTCTCTAAAAACAAATAAGAAGCATCCCTCCCCTCTGAGACAGGGTTTCTCTATGTAACAGCCCTGGTTGTCCAGGAACTTGCTCTATAGACCAGGATGGTCTTGAACTCACAGAGATCCTCCTGCCTTTGCCTCCCAAGTGCTGGGATTAAAGGCATGTGCCATTACACTCAGCAAGAAGCATTTTTAATGAGAATTTATAATGCTGAAAAATTGTACAAAATCTAAATTCTGACAAAGTACGTTTCCTATTAACCGTTCCACTATTATCAGCTCACTATAGTCAGTCAAAAATAACAAGAAAACAACGGTCTGGTGGCTGGAGAGATGGCTCAGCGGTTAAGAGCATTGCCTGCTCTTCCAAAGGTCCTGAGTTCAATTCCCAGCAACCACATGGTGCCTCACAACCATCTGTAATGAGGTTTGGTGCCCTCTTCTGGCCTGCAGGCATACAGACAGAATATTGTATACATAATAAATTTAAAAACAACAACAACAAAAAAAAAACCAGAAAACAACGTACTAATGAGTTTCCAAATCATGACTCTCAAAAGTAATGCTATAGACTGAGACAGAGTCTAACTACATCACAGATGAACAGAAAGAATGGCAATGGACAGCTTAAAGGGAACTTTCGATAACAATGTTTTGAATGGAAACCACAGACAGAAGATCCAAATCATTACATCACTGTTCATCGTTCCCAGCTCTGCAATTTTCAGTCTGACAACTGTAGAAGGCTTCTGAAACACACAATGACCCCAAATTAATTCATATCCAAACACTTCTGGTATCACTTCCCATGCTTCCCAGTGACGTCACTGCAGTCGCTGTTCTGAACACACAATACATGCATGCTATCATGCAACTTGAGAGCAAGGAATACTGCCAGATACTGCAGTTCAGGACTGAGAAACTATTGAATGTTATGAATTAGTCATATTCTGGTATTCTTGTAATCCCAACATTCAGAAAGGGGATCACAAATTCAAGGCTAGCCTGCTCTACCTAGGAAGATCCTGACTGGCCAGGACTAAACAACTAGACTTTGTTTAAAAAAAAAAATTGGCCAGGTGTGATTGCACATGCCTGTGAATCCAGCACTCAGGAGCAGAGACAGGCAAATCTCTTTGAGTATGAGGCCAGACTGGCTACCTAATAAAATTCTGTTTCAAAATAAAAACAAAACCAAAAATTGAATACAATTTAGATTAAAATAAATGAATAAGAGGTTGGGTGCATGTCAGTGGAGCACAGGGACAAGCTGAAAGGGATCTCATCTCACTAGAGCTGAATATAATATAAGCAACAGAACACAGCACCCAAATACACGCAAAGGCCTAAGGCATATAATAAATACAAGTCCTTGCTGATGCAAATAAAGCAGAAAGGAAGAAATCCCCTTCTTCATGAACCCCAAATGATAAAATGGACTCTACCCATAAAAGCAGAACTAAGCCCTGCCCCTGCCTGAGTGGAAGCTGAACCCCAACTTGATTTGTAGCAACCAAGTCTGGAAAGGCAGTGCCATGGTGGAGAAAGATGGCAAGCACAGCCCTGGCCAGGCAGTCCAGGTTCGTGGCACCAGTATAAGTCAGACATGATGAATGAGAGGCCCCCTTCCCGCTGGGCTTTTCTTCCCCTCAAGCCTATAACCTCTATTCAGTCATGAGAAAAATTAAGACACATATTAACTGGAGAGTCATTCCATAAGATCAGTGAGTGTACTGGCAAGGTCACAAAAACAAGGGACACCATCATGAAAATCAGGGCAGAGGGGACAAGTGAATGCATTCGGCACCTTACAATGGTTTCTGGAAGAGAAAAGGGACATCAATGGAGAAACTGCTCAAATAAAGTTCAGAGTTCAATTGAGAGCAGTAGGTGAGGTTGGCCTCATGGTTTTAAGACTCTAACATGTGGTGTGAGGCGCTAGCAACAGGGAAGCCATATAACGTTTGTAACTTTCTTGTAAGTCCAAAATCTTTTAGGTAATTCATACAATAAGCACACAATAAGCATCTGTAGTTTAACTATCAAAAATACATGGATAAGGGCAGATTAGAAACAAAGAGTGGTGTTGTTATCAGGGCACATGACATCTTAGCTCCTGTATTACCACCATATGGTTTTAGACTGTCCAAAGACACTCTGGGAACCGGGGAAGAACTGCCCTCACTGAGCCAGGTGGGCTGGGTGAGGAAGTATGGGAATGGAAACTGTATGCCAGCACCAAATGAATGGAAAGGGAGAGGAAGCAAAGATCTACAGACGATCTACATTGAACTGGCTAGACAAGCCAGGGCTCCCACCTGGGGAATCATTTGGAAGTTTCCATAACTATTTTCTGGGTAGGAGAAAGATATTTACTAATCTTTATGACTTTGAACATTTTTATACTTTAAGTAATGTAATCACACAAAAAGAATATATGATGCTCATCACTAAGGAGAAAGTCATGAATTCATGTTTACATTCCATTACCTTTTGCAATCGAAGGTATACATGAGCTGAAGAGAGTTTGTCCACGTGAAACCTGCAAGGAAGGAAACCACTTTTAGCAAAACAACCATGTCCTCAGCCACTTGCATCAAAAGCATCCCATTCCAAGAAAGTACTCCCTGGGACTTATTATAAAACTGTCGCCATCTCCAAAGGGCTGGCCAGCAACCTGGAGAGGCAAATGGAACCCGAGAGCTGTGCAGCTGGTGTGGCTCCAGGCCAAGATGAGTCAGATAGTGAATATGAAAACATCCTGGGAAGAGTGAAGTTTCAAGTGACAAAAAGAGCTATCAGTGACCAAAGGCTTCACAGAAGAATTGAGATTTGGCTGCCCCTGACTAAAGCAGAAGCCAAGAAAAAACCAGGAAAAGAATTTCAATGAGAAAGGATGGAAGAAGTCAGTGAAACTCCACTGTTGCTGACCTGGGAGCCTTTCAGGACTGCAGTCCGGAGAAGAGGAGAATATGGTTTCTGATACCCTCAAGTTTACAGCGACAGCAAAACAAGGATCAAGTTCAGATTTAGAAAAGTCAGCTCACCAAGCAGACTACATCATTAAATGGATCAGACTTAGAATTCTTCCAACGCCCCCACGAAGCTCCATCACGGACAATGGCATCAACGTGCATCCCTGGGTGGACATGGTCTCTATGGCACTGGGCTGTCCTAAAATCAGTCAGGATGCCCCACAGCATTCTTTCTTTCTTGGCATAGGGCGTCACTACACAGTCCTAGCTGCTGGGGGACAATGGTCTTTTATCTTGTCACTTGTATTATTTTTAATAAAACACTCATTGGCCAGTAGCCAGGCAGGAAATAGAGGCAGGACAATGAGAACAGAATTCTAAGAGTGGAAAGAATCAGTCTGCAGTCATCATAGAGGAAACCAGACATAGAGCAAGCAAGCCAAAAAAGGCACCAAGCCACGTGGCTAACACAGACAAGAATTATGGGCTAATATAAGTTATAAGAGTTAATAAGAAGCCTGAGCTACTAGGCCAACCAGTTTATGATTAATGTAGGCCTCTGTGTGTTTATTTAGGACTAAATGGCTGTGGGACCTGGTGGGACAGAAACCTCAGTCAACACCTGGCTGATCTGGTACTTGCTATGTAGACGGACTAGCATTTTACTTACAGAGATACTCCTGCCTCTGCCTCCTAAATGTTGGGAATGAGGTGGAACGTATCTCCACAGCACATTAAAGTCACTTTTCTTAAGGGTTTGTACTAGGTAGTTTTATGTCAACTTGACAGTAACTAGTGTCATCATCCAAGGAGGGACCCTCAAGTGAGACAATGTTTCCATAACATGGGGCTGTAGGCAAACCTATTAGTGATGGATGTGGGGGATTCTGAGTAGAGCTACATGTTAGTGGGAGTTTGAGTTATCTAGCCCATTGTGGGTGGGGTTACCCCTGGACTGGTAGTCCTGGATTCTATAAGAAAGCAGGTTGAGCATCATGGGAAACAAACCAGTAAGCACCACCCCTCCATGGCCTCTGCATCAGCTCCTGCCTCCAGGCTCTTGCCCCATGTGAGTTCCTGTCCTCACTGCTTTTGTTTTAAAAAAGATTTATTTATTAATTATGTATACAGCATTCTGTTTGCATATGTCCCTGCAGGCCAGAAGAGGGCACCAGATCTCATTACAGATGGTTGTGAGCCATCATGTGGTTGCTGGGAACTGAACTCAGAACCTCTGGAAGAACAGTCAGTGCTCTTAGCCTCTGAGCCATCTCTCCAGCCCCCTCACTGCTTTTGATGATGAATGTTACACGGAACTGGGAGGGAAATGAACCCTTTCCTCCCCAAGTTGTTTTTGGTTAAGGTGTTTTATTGCAGCAATAGTAACCCTAACTAAGACAGGGTTCTTATTATCCATCAATTTAATGGAATCTATTAAAATTGATGTGACATTTTCCATGCTTATAGTTCATCAAATGAAGTTGACTCACTTTGTGACATGCAGAGATGGGCCTAGAATTCAAGCATCAACCAATGAACTGACCTCAGCTGAGAAGGAACACCTGCTACTCTTAACTTCTGCTTGTTTAGTGACAGCCCTTCCTACACACACCTGACACAGTGACTCCGTTAACTTTAGCTGGAGCTGTCCCTAACAAGGTTTAAGGAAGCCTATGGAAGCTGACCATAGTGGCAAAGCTCTATAATTCCAGAAGACAGAAGTATCATAAGCTTAGAGTCAGCCTGGACTACTTAGTAAAACCCTGTCTAAAAACAAAAACAAAACAAAACAAAACAAAACAAAAAACCAAACAAAAACCAAAACCCTAAGGACGCCTCATTACACCCCCTAGATTTCCCCAGGCATTTTTTTTTTTTGTTCTCAACATCTATTCAGGGTGTCAAAGGGGTCATACATTCATACTTGGTACAGGATATAGACAAGTATGGTTTAGTATGAAGACTAAGATTATGCTGTTTCTAATGTCCTCAAAGAAGCAAAATATCTTGTTATTTGTTCTGGATACAGAACACTATTCAGACTTCAGGCAAATGTTGCTTCTTAGTCTTTACTGATAGCCAGAAATGGACATTACATAATATTTGATTCATGTTTTTCCAAACTGTTCATTTACTCATTTGGGTTCCCATGTAAAATTCATATTAATTATCACCTTTATTTGGGCATTTTTTGTACCCAGAAAAATCCCTTTTATAAATCTAGACATTTTGTATATTTCATTCTCCTCTCAGAATCTTTTTTTTTTAAAAAAATATTTATTTATTTTGTATACAGTGTTCTGCCTCCATGTGCCTACATGCCAGAAGAGGGTACCAGAACTCATAGGTTGTTATGAACCACCATGTGGTTGCTGAGAATTGAACTCAGGACCTCTGGTAGAGCAACCAGTACCCTTAACCTCTGAACCATCTCTCCTGTCCTTCCTTTCAGAATCTTAAGGAAAATATTATGCTGTGAACTGACCTCAAGTGAGAAGGAACATCCGCCACTCTGACTTCTGCTTATTTAGTGGCAGCTCTTTATTAGTAACAGCCCTTCCACTAGCAATAGTAGCTATATTAGATTTTTTCTTCAAGGTCTCCTATATGGAATGCTGTCAATAGAAATATCAAACTAATTCAATATATATTAACGAGTTCATACCTAGGTATGAACTCATAAGCACTCATAAGAGTATCATGGCTAGAATGGTGGTTTGAGTAAGAATGGCCCCCATGGCTCATATATTTGAATACTTAGTCACCAGGCAGTGGAATTCTTTGAAAGGATTAGGGAAGTGTGGTGGGTATGTCAGTGGGGTGGGCTCTCAGGTTTCAAAAGCTCATGCCAGCCCCAGTCTTTCTCTCTCTCTGCCTGATGCTCTCAGCTACTGCTCCAGTGCCATGTGTGCCACCATACTCTCCACCGTGATGATGATGGACTAAGTCTCTGAAACTGTAAGTAAGGTCCCAACTACAAGCTTTCTTTTATAGGAGTTCTGTGGTTACAATGTCTCTTCACAGCTAGTATATACCAACTTCAGTCTTACATTTACCAGTACATAACTACAGAGGGCAGAGACCAACAGAAATACAGGGTTTGAAGTAATTCAGAGCAAACTTGCTGTGTTTGCTAAGTCTTTCTACTGTTCCTAAAAATGCCCACTTAAAGTTTAAACTATGCCCACTTTTAGCCTCTTGTCCCCGTTACATTCCCATCCCTGCTCATCTTGATCCCCTTCACTAACTCGCAGACTAGAATTTTCGATAAAGGAACAGTTACTTGAGGTGCAGAGGCACAGGCAGTGAGCGGCTCAGTTTCTTGAAGGGAGGGCTGTGCAAATACTGTGCATTTGGCAGTCTGGAGGTAGCAAAGACACACATCTCTCTTTTCCTCACTTGAAAACTGATTTATTTCTAAACTCACTTAATGCCTAGAAGAGTCTTTGCTTAAAGGAACCTCAGAAGGTTTACCAGATAGACTCAGCTGCTGCCACAGGTAAATCCCCCAAGGCAGCCTCAGGGAATATCAGGTTACCAGCAGAATGCAGAAGAGCTCAGGGCCACTCTTCTGTCCAGGACAATCCCTGGCAGATGGTCAGGACTGACAGCACAGGGACTGGAACAGGGCCCTGGAGGATCAGGGCTATTCCAGCAGCCCTGAGTTCTCAAATAACTTCTGGAAATAAAAGTCAACTGTGCTGAACTTTGGTCATTAATCTCTAGACTATTAAAGGTGCCAAAAGGGATCTCTAGGTACCAGTTGATATAAGCCTGGTGAGTCTCAAGCTTAAAAAAAAAACACAAACAAACAAACAAAAAACAAGCTGCAATTTACTATTTACTAGTGTGGGTTTTAAATTAGAAACTTGTCTTCTACCTGTTTAATTTTTAAAAAGTTTAAAAGTTATGATAAACTGTCTTTCAAGATGTATCTTAATATGTAACCTTTCCTACATAGGCAGGGATCCTCAAATCTGTATGCTAACGTACAGCATCAGTGAACATGGTACCTATAATTCTAACACCTGGAAAACTGAGAGAAGAAACTTCTGTGTTTTCAAAGGCAGCCTGGGTTACACAGGGATGCTGTGGGAGTTCCTTCCGCTCCTTCAGCCAATCGCCGCTGAGTTACCAGCCCATTGGGGCGTGGTCTCTCTCTCTTTAAACAAAGCAGCGGCTGTCCTCCACTCCCTCTTTGGCTTCCGGCTCCACTTCCGGCTCCTGGACTCCTTTCCTGTTCGCGCGCGGAGGGGCTGTTGTCTGGGACGGTAATCTGTAAGTTTTTTCCCCTTTGAATAAATAACCATTCTATTAATCATAATTCCAAACTGGTGTGGGATTGTCTGTGACTTACGCCTTCACAGGGAGTTCCAGGGAAGCCTGAAATAGTCAAACTCTAGCTTGAAAAAACAAAGGGGCAAAAAGTATAGCAGGTAACTGCCTAACAGACACAGTCAGTGCATCAGAGAGCCCAGGATCTGCGGGAACTACTTCAGCTGGGGACGACAGCCATGCAAAGGAGAGACAACAGGAAGCAGTTCCTGGGAGGAAGCTTCCAGGGGGTGTTTGTAGGATGGCAGCAAGTGAGATGAGTGGGGAGTCAGTAGATATAACGAACTCTCATTATGCGCCAATGACCTTAGTAGTTCACGAAGCAGGTGAAGAATTGTCCTGTTGAAGACATAGGGCCTTCTGAAGGAAAACCACAAAGTCCAGAAATTCTGAGCAGTACAATCTGCCCACCTGCACGAAGGGGCCCTAAGCAGGGTCTTATCTGGTGGTGCATTTGAGCTGAGAAGTTAGGACACTGTGCTGTACCAGCTTTTGTTTTTATAAGGCTTTAACATTCCTCGTGTGTTGGCTATGTCCTAGCTCTCAGTGTGGAATTTAGAATGAACATGCCCACTGGGGCCGTGAGCTCTTCATTACCAAGTAGGTAGAAGTCCAAGAGGTCCTTTGGGGAGGCCCTGCAGATATGTGGAGGCTTCCAAGTCGCAGGTAAGGGGGAGCAAGTGGAGCTTGAGTTACTCTCCATACAATACTTCCCTGTTAAGTGCTCAATGCCGCACACCTCACTAGAAACTGAACGAGCGCTTCTGAAAAGTGGCCATCTAACCTCATAGCACTCCAGGGAGATAAGGGGGAGTTCTCCAGCCCACAGCTGGAGAAAAGAGATCTGTAGAATTACAACAATGGGCCTGGAGGTGGGGTGGAGGGCACAGCAAACTGAAGCCAGAAGAATGGCGCCCTAAGGAGAGGGCAAATCAATGATTTGGAAATTGAGCGGGGCCTGTGAGATCCTGGGCTGGGCCAGTAATAACCAGTGCAGACCTGTTCTGTTCCTCATCTGTAAAATAGGCATGATAGCAGTACTTCATAAATGCTGAGAAATTAAATGTATTGACACTTGACAATATTTGGCGGAGTTAAGTGCTTGAGAAATGTGCACTAAGTGTTGTGGGATATTATTTTAAGATATGTTACATTAATTTACACTGTGGAACATTTGTTTAATGATGCAAAGATGTGCTGCATTCTTTTATGCTGCACTTGTTTAACTCTGTGAAGTTGTGCTACTTTGCCTGCCTATAACATCTGATTGGTCTAATAAAGAGCCAAAAGGCCCATAGCAAGGCAAGATAAAGGACAGGCAGGGCGGCCAGTCAGAGAGAATAAAAAAAAATGAGGAAGAGGGAAGAGTGAGAGAAGAAGACACCAGGGGCCAGCCACCCAGTCACACAATCCACGGAGAAAGAAGGAAAGAAAGACATGTGGGATAGAGAAAGGCAAAAGCCCAGAGGCAAAAGGCAGACAGAATAATTTAAGAAAAGCTAGCTAGAAACAAGCCAAGCTAAGGCCAGGCAATCACAAGGAAGAATAAGTCTCCATGTATTTACTTGGAAGGTAGGTGGTGGGACCCCAAAGACCAAAGAGCTAAGAAAAGAAAAAAAGAAAGAAAAAAAAAACAATTACAGCCAAGTAAACAGGGCCTGAGAACTTATCCAGGGAGAATGACACTCTACTCAAATGGTTGAGACTAGGTTCCAGGAGACAGAATATGATGATCATCAGAATAAGCAGTGGAAAATGGTCATAGAAAAAGAAAGAGGCTAAAAAGGTGTGTTGGGAGCCCACACATTTCTCTTGGGTCATAGGGGTGGAGCACTGAGGGAAACCACAGCTATTTTACTCATGAACACTAGAAACAAAACACCACGTAGGAGGTGTTTTAATTAAAGGAGGCAGGTAGATGGTTATGTCTAAAAATCTAAATGATAACCTAAATGAAACAGAATAAAAATTGCAACTTACCAAATATCTTCAGGCCAGCCATACTTTATCAGATCTTCATCTACAGTAAGACACAAGAGGATGGAAAAAGAAATTAAGAAAAACTGTTAAATGGAAATATCCAGGATTTTTATTGTTGGGAAGGGAAAAGCAGACCATCCCCCTTCACTTTCTCCTTTCCTTAAAGGAGACAACAGTGGTGGAACTGGGAGGCTTGAAAAGAAGGACAGCTCTTAGACGGACAATTTACACCGCATGGCTTTTGTCACACTTCCAATTCAAAGCCCAATGACGTTTCCTTTGAATGAAACAAATACTAGAAAAAACTTCAGCAGCTGGGAAGTTAGGTAATTCTGACCAACTATAATGCTTAAATGCTAATATGATTTTGTTCAAACTTTAATGGGTTACATTATCATCATCATCATCATCATGATCTGGGAAACGTTGGCTGTTCAGTGGCTGCACTGCTTGCCTAATGTTCACGAAGCCCTAGGTTTGATCCCTAACACCACAGAAACCGAGTGTGGTTCACACAGCCTGTGATCCCAGCAATTGGGAGGTAGAGACAAGAGCATCAAGGTTCAGGTCATCCCTGGCCATATAAGGAGTTAAGACCAGCTTGGAACGTGCCTCAAAAGAACAGACAGATGGACAAAACCCTTGAAAATTCAGCAGGGTATGGCTGCATACACATGAGAAGCTGAGAAAAGATGGTGAGTTTGAGGACATCTTGGACTAAAAGGCTAGATCAAGTCAGCTACTAGTGAGACCTTGTAAGGCCCTGTCTTAGAACAGTGTCAATGAAAGAAAACAAACAAACCTTCGATTGTATACTTAAGAATATTATGAACAAAATATGCTTAAGAAGAAAATAAAAACCGTATCTGGAAAAGAATTAGCAGAGAAAGGAGCTGAAAGTGTGAAAAGAAATTGTTCTGGGAGGAAGGGAGTTTTGTGGGATATTTACACTGTGTAAAGATATTGCTGTGATCGGTTTAATAAAGGGCTGAATAGCTAATAGCTAGACAGGAGGTATAGGCATGTCTTCTGGGCAGAGAGAGGAAATAGGAGATAACTGAGGCACAGAGGAGATGCCAATGAGACATGGAGGGAGTTAGACATACAGAATACAAGAAAAGTAAAAAGCCCATGGTAAAACAAAGCTTAATAGAAATAAGTTAATTTAAGTTATAAGAGCGAGTTAGAAACAAGCCTAAGAAATAGGCTGAGCTTTCATAATTAATAAGTCTCTGAGCCATTATTTGAGATCTGGCTGGACAGAGAAAGACTTGTTACAAGGAAGAGTTTTGGGAGGATGATGAAAGAGCTACTAGAGGTGAGGACCTGACTTTTATTATTATAAGAATTGTATTATTAGTTGATATTTAAACTGTATATGTGGCAGGTAAGTACTGGTTAGAACTTCAAGGAAAACAGGTGATTCCTATGTGAAGATTTTAGATGTCTCTTAGAAAGGATAGCCTACTACTGGCTAAGATATATACAACACATAGGAGAGGGCACTTGGCGATAGTAGAGACCAGGTGGTTTCTGGCAGACATCAGGAATTAACTATGTAAGTGGGAAGCTGGGTAAATATCTGAAGTAAGGGAAAATATTAGTAGCAAAACATTTCTAAGTATGCTATGTATGGCTGAGGCCACCTGCTGGCTAAGAAGAGAAAATACCTGTTTTATCCACTGCTTACTTAGAAACTGCAGGGCTACGAGAAATAAATGGGAGGTACTAGGAATATCGCCAATAGGAGGCTTTAAAACACAGCTCCCTTTCTTATTGGGATAAACTGGAAGGGCTGATACCTCCACACGACTCCAAAGTGTCCTGATGAGCAAATATTCTATATATACACAATAACACAAAAGGGCTCTAGACATCCAGATTCAGGGCTGTGGAGACGGATGCTCATTGAGGTGTGTGTCTCTAGGCATCAATTCTACTACAAATACAAGACCTTTCTCAGCTCGGTGCCTCGAGCCTCGTTCACCATCCCTTCCACAGCATGTGCTAGAAATGACTGCATTTTGCCCACACTTTTAAAACATGCCCCACATTTCGGAGCAGTTTTAGCTTCACAACAAAATGCACATGCTTTGGTATGTGTCTGTATGTCTCTGTGTGTGTACACCTGAATGGAGCTAAAGCCCTACCAATGTCTTCCTCACACAGGTTGGAATGAGGCCCCACACATATAAGCCCTCAGTGAAGAGAAGACAACCACAGGAGGAGAGGGACAGGTAGGAGGGAATGCCTTGCCCTCTGCACCCCAGTTATACAGTGCAAAACCTGCATCACTCACGCAGCAGTCGGGTGCTTCCCAAAAGGCGCAGTCTCAGGTTCCACTTCTGATGCAGTAGAAAGATGCTGGGGACTATTATTTTAAGGTGTGTGACTGTTGTTTATGCTGCATCTGTTTAACTCTGTGAAGCTGTGATTCTTTACCTGTCTAAAACACCTGATGGTCTAATAAAGAGCTGAACAGCCAATACCGAGACAGAAATAAGGATAGGCGAGGCTGGCAGGCAGAGAGAATAAACAGAAGGAGAAACGAGAAAAGGAGGAGCAAAGAGAGAACAAGGAGCAGAGGATGTCAGGGGCCAGTCACCCAGCCAGCCACAGAGTAAAAAGGAAAGTAAGACATACAGAACTAAGAAAAAGGAAAAAGCTCAGTGGCAAAAGGTAGTCGGGATAATTTAAAAGAAGCTGGCAAGAAACAAGCCAAGCTAAGGCTGGGCAATCATATCTAAGAATAAGCCTCCACATGTGATTTATTTGGGAGCTGGCTGGTGCCCCCACAAAATTAAAAGAGTTAAACTTCGCACAACAGAAAGAAAACCATATTTGGCAGCAGACTTGCATTCCTATCCACTCTAAATAACTTATGGCTCTATAGTGGTGGCTATATTCTATATTCTATGTGTTCTATATTCACTGTAGAACAGGGTGATAGACAGCATCCTTTCCTTCATGATACCAAGAGGATGCTGGGGGATAAGTGAAAATAATCAGTGATATTATGGGCTATGAGGAGAAACCTAAAACTCAAGTATTTATGTAGTATGAATGACTTCACCATTAGGTCACATCTTAGTCAAAGCCATAAATTCATTACAATGAAAAATTGCCTCAAAATGTGTTATTTTATTTTGTTTTTTTATTTGTTGTCTCTCTTCATAATGATACACTCTTTTTTTTTAAGATTTCTTTATTATGTATATACACACCAGAAGAGGACACCATATCTCATTATAGATACTTGTAAGCCACCTTGTCTCAGGACCTCTGGAAGCGGCCAGTGCTCTTAACCTCTGAGGCATCTCTCCAGCCCATGATACAGTCTTTTCATCTTACCAGCTCTGCTTTAAGGCAACCATTTTTTGACCTTGTTTAATAATGAAAATTACTGGCAGATATCTCTTACTGAAGAATGGTATGTGTGCTTCTTTTAATGCACACAAACTGTCCAATTCTAACTGCTGTCAATGTCAAACTGCACCTGACGAGACACTGACAGTTCTTGTAAGAAATGGGAAAAACAGACAAGGAGTACCAAAAGTTTAAACACATATAACAGTGCGACCGACCAGTCAGCTCTCCAGACTTACTGAGGCAGTGGCACCCAGCCCCAGGGACAGTGTTCCTGGGGAAGCAAGGTGGGGAGTGGCATCTGGGAGCTTAGGAAGCTCCAGGAGTCTCTCTACCAGCTAACAAGTGCTCACATGGGTTAGGAACTCCACACAGTCCTTCCCTAACCTTGACAACCTTTGGCGGTAACTACAGTCCATGAGCCTCTCATATCTAAGAAATCTGAGGGCCAAAGAGGTTGCACAACTACCGTGTGTTTGCTAAGGAGCTGATGCTGGTACGACTTCATAGCTGTCTTGTCTGAACCCTCACCCTTCTCCAGGAAGAAGGCAGCTGTTGGCCCATCTCAAGGAATGATAACCTCTCCAGTTCCTCTGAGGTTCTGTCTTCCTTATCTTCACACTGTGAGCAAACTCTGTGCTCTCTCCACTTAGGTGAACTTAGCTAACCACAGGGGTTCACATGCAGAAGCTCAGCACATGAGGGACTGAGGCAGGAGAATCGCTGAGTTCTAAGCCAACCTGAGCTATAGAGTGCAAGCTTGTCTCAAGGGAAAACAACTGTTCAACTGGGTCTGGCATGTAACTTCGCTGCAGTATTTGCCATCAGTGTTCACGAGGCCCTCAGTCCCACCATCCCCTCTAAGGCTGGGATTACAGTCACATAAGGCGCATGAACTACAACTAGGCTGCACACCAGACCCAGCGGAGTAAGACAAGCAGAGGAGAAAGCTACGGGAGGGGCCGGCCAACCGGTGAAACAATAATCAGATAGGAATGCATCTGCTATTCAGTGGCAGAGTAAATACAGTTACCAAAGTCTATGCCAAAGTAGCTAGAAGACAGGATGTTGTTGAATTCTCTAACCGACAAGAAATGATCAATGTTTGAGGTGACAGATATGCTATGGGTTCCAATTGGACCACCTCACAATGTGTGTATGGACTCAAAAAATATGGCCACTTGTTGTTCGCCAAGTATAATTTCCAAAAGGAATGAAAGAAATTAACAACAAAAACCGTAAACGCAACAAACAGCACTCACCTGCCGGCAATTTCAAAATCAAATGCTTTTGTAAACTTACTTTCGTATTTATCCTTTCCCATGTAGATAGTGTACGTAGATGAGTTAACTGAAACAAAACCAAAAAGACAATTAGTTAAGTTCACCAACAAACCTGCTTCACAGGAAACGCATCAAAGGCTTTGATAAGGAGCTGTAAGCCACACCTAACTTACCCATCAGCTCTTATATCCTTCGAGAACAAGTTTTACACTTTCAAGTAACCGGTATCAGTAGGACACAATTAAACCATAGCAAGAGCATTATAGTCTTACTGACCTCACAATAGTATCTCGTCCCCAAAGATGACGGTTGCCAATACTTATTGTTTGTTTCCTCCTTTACAGGGAAATAGCTTTTGATTTTTTTCCTTCACATCAGGGATAAAGTCTAACGGCCACTCACGGATCAGTCCTACACCTTGGCCTTCTTCAGTGATAATGAGCAACGACCATGAATTCAAGGCCAGTCTGAGCTACACAGTGAGTTCTAGGCCAGCAAGGGCTGTATAATTAGATCCTGTCTGAAAAATAAACAAACAAGTACCAAGTACACAAACACTGAACATCACTCCGCACTGGGGGACCTAGAAAGTAACGCCAACATTAGGGAAGCTTGACGCAGGAGGGTCCCTGTTTGAAGCCAACCTGAGCCACTCACTGTCTCAAGAAGGGTCAAAAAAAAAAAAAATCAACACACAATAGCCAGCTCCACAAGGCACTACACTTACGAGTCAAGACAGACTGCCTCTCAAGAGACCTGCCCTGTAGTTAGAGCAGGCAGCTTCTCATGCCACATGAGAAGAGCGGTGCTAAGTCATGTTAAAGGGATAAACAAAATGTATACTTAATCATGGCGTGGAAACTAGGTCTCAAAAGGTGTCTTGGGAAAGTCACAGCTATTTTTTTTAAAACGGGGTGAGTTAATCAGAGATTGATTGAAACAACATGGGCACAGCATTTCCTGGAAACCAAAACACCACTTTCTGGCCTTCCAAACCCAGCTCAGTGTGTTACCATATGTCAACCGGACAGCACTTCTGCCCCGTGAGGGGTTGTACTGACGTTCTAGTCCTTCTATTGCTTTCCATGGCACTCCTGCTCCTCCCTTCTTAAAAGGGCAAGGTACTCTTCCTGTAGGAGACAGCTGTTGGCACCTGTCTCATTGGTCAACGTCGCTCCTCCAGGGTGCTGCCAGAATGCTAGGGCGAAGGCTTGAGACGGGGAGGGTGTGCAGGAACCCACACACTTCCCGAGCCCAGGCAGCGTTCGAGGGTCTGTCAAATGGGGATGAGAATCATTCCCGGGTGTAAGGAGAGCGGGGGTGTATTCCCACGGCGCTCCCCAGGCCCTGACCAGAAGACCAGCAGGCAACCGAGGGGACGGCCGCGCAGCGACCCAGAAGGCGGTGGGACAGACGCCCGCGGGAGGATGCGCTCCAGGACCAGGTCCAAGCCCAGCGGCGGCTGGGGAATCCCGGCTTTGGAGGCAGCTGCGGGCAGAACCCAGAGGGTGCGGCGTCACTCACCACTGCTGCTGGTGAAGTAGAACACCATGATCCTGGTAGAAGAGTAGCAACTCCTGCTCAATTCGCGAAGCTCAAGAGCTCACAGGCGCGAGGATGAGCCGGCTTCCAGGCTCTCCTCCGGGCACTTCCGGCGGACGTGCGATCGCGTCACAACGCCCTCCTGTCGGCGCCATCTTTAGTCCTGGCGAAGAGAAGGCTGTTGGCGGGTGGGCGGGTGTCCCAGTGACTGAGGATTGCGCCCTAGCGGCCAGCTGAAGGAATAGCGCCAGGAAACCGCATCTTGTTTGAGGCCATAAAGAAAAAATTGCTTTTTCTCTGACTTCCCCTCAACCCAGCATGGGCTGCACGAATGCAAAAACGTCTCTTTCATAGTTACAGGTTCCTGTACCTGTGACATCCGTAGACACTCAGTAGGGGCCAATTCAATTTTAAATGAACTCATTCCTCCACTACTTAACTTATGTGAGTTGGTTTTTGTTTTGTTTTTGCTTTTGCTTTTTTCCCCCCCTTTTGTCTTGCTCAAACTAGTCAAAATAGATCTGGGTAATTTTCCACTGTGATTCTCCATCAAACTCTAGCTAAATTTGAAATGGCCTCAGCAAGAAAACAAGATGTTGGAAGAACCTTGCACCGTCTTGCCCTATCACAATTAAATAAATGGCTGTGTACCAAGGGCAGGATATAGAGGGTACTCGAATGAATTGTTATTGATATTTTCCGGAGGTAGTATGCATACCGGAGTTTGGACTCAAGACTATTGTCCCTTTAAATCTCATGTCTGCCCTTTATTACCTACCAGACTGGACAAATCCCAAACCTCTTAACTTCAGAACCTCTTGCTATAAATTCCCAGAATGCTCCATGGCATCTCGGTTTCAGTTGTTAATTTTCCTTATTTCTGATAAACATTATGAGAGTCCATTTCGAACTGAATCCCTCCAACAAGCCCCAGCAAGTCAGACCAAACAAAAGTGGAGTCACTCGGGCTAAATGCTGAAGAAACTGAAGTTTTAAGATTCCTAAAGAGCCTGCTCTCCCTTAGAAACAGGAACTCCCCTCCAGTAGAATCTGCATGACAAGTCCCCTGGCTTTAACTTTCAAAAAAGTAACTAGCCACAGCCTGATATGAACTGGTTTCCTCTATTCTGGTTCTTTTACTTTACAAAACCCACTATTATTCTGGTCTCCTGGTGCTGGTCAGGGTTCTGTTCTGACAAGGGTTTAAGACAACGGAAAGTCTTTCTTTGCTGCCAGGCCACCACGCTAGGTGTTCAGGATCCCAGTGGAGCCCTCAGCCTTTCTCAGGAAGAGCGTTTAAGCACCAACGCCACGTCCTGGGCTGACGAACTTCAGACAACAAGAACAGTTAGCCAGAAGCAGAACCACAGAAGCCAAAAAGCAAAGTTAGTACACTTAGAGACTTTCCCAGAACTACGGATTTTGATGAATTGGGTCTTTGTTTTCATTTCGGTTTGTGGTACTGTCTTCGTGCTAAATTTTACGGTGTGGATGACATTTCCATCATGGAGTCAGTTGTGCTAAGATCTGGGGCCCTATTGCAATCAGGATTCTAGAACTCAGGAGATAGGGACTGATTTTAAGTTGTAGATGAATTTGGGGTACCATTACTGAATGGGAACTTTCCTCTTCTAGCAGAAGTTGGCCTATTCACGAGTCATGTAAATAACCAAATTGTCACTTGGGCCAATTTTGTTCTGTGAAGAGCAGCGTCATTTAAACTTACCTAGACCACATGTTCGGAACCTGTGAGTGCTTTAACATTTCCACTCGCTCAAGGACACATGATAAAGTAGTTCTGGGTTGGGTGACAGCAGGCCTTCACGTTGACTTTCTGTAAAGTAGGAATGATAACACAAACCTCATAGTTTGTGGTGAGCAGTAAGTGAGATAAAATATGTAAAGCATCAAGCTGGAGATATTTTTTTGGGCTTAGCTACTCTGAACACGTACTACTCTTGAAGAGTACCTGAGTTCAACTCCTCATGCCCACATTTAGTGGCCTACAGCTGTCTAAAACTTGATTCAAGAAATCCAACTCCTCTGGCCTATGCTGGTGCCTGCACTTATATGCATATATCAACTAGCAGACATGAGGATAATTAAAAATAATGAAATTTTTTTATAAAAGCAAAACCAATCATCAAACTTCAAATATGAAAAATAAGAGCCTCCAGTATCTTGGAGATATCATTTCATGTAAACTCCTTACACCGTACTACCTCAGAATTTTACTTCCCATTCAGCTGATCCGTGAACTACAATTCCCATAATGCACTGTTACAGGTCTGTGGTCTGGAGCCGGAGGTTGTCGCAGACTTTTTTTGGGGAGGGGGGAGGTGTGGCTTCCTTGACCCCGGTCCGCTTTGACTCCCAAGGGCGGGAGAATCTTGGAGGCCACCACCCCCCGGCGGGCGGGGCAAGGACTAGGGAGAAACCAATCACGGCCCAGGCTCTAGGAAGCACTGAGCGGGGACGAATCAGAATGCAGCAAAATTGGTCTCAAGTGGCGCGCGTGAATTTGAACGCCCTGGCAGAGCGCCGGGCTCCTGTGAGGAGAGCAGTGGGGTCGCCGAGCTGCGGAGCGTTCTTTGCGTGGATTCCTTGCCCGAGTGCACGCCGAGCCAGTCGGAGCCTGAGGAACGCAGGTAACGTCACGGGGCAGGGGACTTGGCTGTGAACCTGCTGCTCACGCGGGGCTCGTGCTCCCGGTGCCAGCTGCTCACCGCAGCCGGGCTGGGTCGTCCCTCGTCCCCGCGGACTTTGCGTTTAGCTTAGAGGTCGCTCTTGCGGAATTCTGTGGGACTGACGTACCAGATCCGAAGGAAGGAGAAAGGAAGGAAAGAACATTCTAGAGCGACCTCCCTGAGGGAGAAGGCTTGCCTGCTGTATCTCCTTAGCAGCTGCCTGACGAGCTCCGGGGCGTTTATAAATAAGGAAGCTCCTGCGAGGGAGCCCAGCTGGGACCTGGGGCGACGACTGTCCTTCCCGCATCCCCTTGCTCAGATTTCCAGGAAGGGTCCGCACAGGCTCTGCGGCCACCGAACGTGCTGACTGTGGAGATGGTTAGCCTAGAATGTATGCTAAGTCGAATAGGGAGGAGGCCCAGGGTGCTAGGGGAGCCGGGGACAAGAGCATCCATCAGTGGGCATGGTGGAGGGAGAACGGTGCCAAGGAAGGCCTACCAGGGGTGCTAAAACTTGGCGTGATTAGTTTCATTAAAGGATGGCGTTTAGGGGCCACCTGGCCTTGTCAGTAGGCTCAACTTTCTGCTCTAAATATGTAGGTGTGGGCAGTATTTCCCCAGTCCTCCACCCTTCCCTTCTGTTGCTTCTGTTGCCGTTTAAGTCCCTAATATTATCATCATTTACGGCTTTGCTTCTCTAACTCAGGATCCCTTTGCCTCAGCCTCCCATTAGCACCCTTACACCTGACTAGTTTGCTTTTGTTTTTAAAAAAATCTATTATTTGGAGACAGACATGCTGGCTCAGCCTGTGATCCCAGCCTTGGAAAGCTCAAATGTTCTCCAGGTTCCTTCTTGGCTACAGAGTGAGTTGGAATTTGAGGCCAGCCTCAGCTATGTGAGGCACTATTTTCCTGTTTTGTTTTGTTTTTTTTTATTTACAATCTCTTATTTGGAATTCATTTTTTTTTTTTTAATCCTGAGACAAGGTTTCCCCATGCAGCCCCTGCTGTCCTGGAACTCCCACCTTTGTCCAGGCTGGCTTTGAACTCACAAGAGATCCGCCTGCCTCTGACTCCCAAATGCTGGGATTAAAGGAGTTTGCCACCACTGCACCTCTGTCTGGAATTCAGATTTTTAATATACAATTTTGACATATTGCATTTTCTATCCACTTGATCACTTTGATTATTATTACCAACCTATTTATTGCTTTTAGGAATTCACTTAAGATGATGGCAGCTTTTACGCCAAGGAAGAGAAAACGACAGATTTTGAATGTTGATAATGGTGATAGGTAAGTCTTAACCTTTACATAAGAACTCTTTTGTTTGTTTTGCTTTGTCTAGACAATGTTTCTCTGTAGCTTTGGAGCCTGACCTAGAACTTGCCCTGTAGACCAGGCTGGCCTCAAAAATCACAGAGGTCCACCTGTCTCTGCCTCCTGAGTGCTGGGATTAAAGGCGTGTGCCTCTACAGCTCAGTTTTGCTTTGTTTTTGTTTGGTTGGTAGTTTTGTTTTTTTTTGTTGTTTGACAATCTTAACTGTATACCAGGCTGGCCTTAAAACTCGTTGAGTTCTGCCTGCCTTTGCCCTCCAAATGAAATGCTGGGACTAAACGTATGTGCTACCATGCCCAGAGCCGGTAAGAGACAGAAAAATAAATATTGAAATACATATACATGTGCGTAAAGCTTCTTTGTAAGTACTCTTTGCTTTTATGAATGTTATCTTTCTGTTTGTCTTTTGTTTTCTTTGCGACAGGGTCTCTCTATGTAGTCTTGGCTGTCCTGAAACTATATGTAGATCAGGCTGGCACTGAACTCATAGAGATCTGTCTCTGAGTGCTGGGATCAAATGCACCACCAAGCCCAGCTTATGAAAGTTAACTTTAGAACTCTATTTAAGTGCTTTATTTAATAAAGGCAGAATTTGAGGATTAATGTCAAACTAATAGATAATGTGAAACTGTCAAACAATGGAGAGGGATGTATTAGTAGGAAGAAATTTATTATTGGATCTAAATGTTAAAGAAAAATGCCAAACTTACTGGTGAACTTTGTTTCTTTTCTTTTTATAGCCTATTAACAGATACTTCGCCAAACAAATTAAATTTAAGCTTCTCTGAAAGCCATACTTGCCAAAGCAGTGATCAAAAGGAAGAAAAGTCTTGCTCCTACCAAAGCCATTTCACTTCAAGTCCTCTCAAAGTAGCAGAAAATAATAGGTTGCCATTTGCAAACTACAGTTCACTATTTAAATCTGTTGTGTCGACTACATCTTTCTACAATAAAAATAAGCAGTACCTCAATCCACTTGAGAGGAAGTTGATAAGAGAGAGTCGATCTCTTTGTCCAGCAACTAAAAATGGAGATAAATCCAGTGTGATAGAGAAACTGCAGAGAAAACCAACCCGTACCAAGAAAAGCAAAAAACCACAGAAGAGTTTAACTGCTAAATATCAGCCGAATTTTAAGCACA